GGTGCCGCCGCCCGCCGCGCCGGCCTGCGCCGTGGCTCCCCGCGAGGGATCGGTGCTCACCACCTTCGCCGTCTCCTGCAGGGCCTGCCCAGCGGCTCCGTGCCAGCCCCGCCGCAGCAGGCAGCTCACGTACTGCTTCTATCTGAAACCAAGTAAGTCCTGACGTGAACCTTGACCAAGGGCTTCTCGGTGTTTCTAGCAAGCGCCGTTACAGTCACTAGCAGAAGCGAAGGCAAAGCTGCTTTCACTCCTCAGAGAGACTAATAAAGGGTCAATTAATTAGGCCTGCCCAGAGCAAGCATCTTGGAGAACACGTAGTCCCATCTGCCTGATAGGTAACCCCATCTTTCTCATTCCAGATTCTCTCTTGCACTGTGGCCCCGATTCCGAACTCTTCCCAGTTTATCTTCCACTTGGAGAAGAGGAAAATGATTTCATTTTACAAATAACAATCACTGTTAGCAACAACTTTGGGGAGACAGTTCAAACTAATGCTTCTGTGAAGGTATGCAGTAAATCGCTTTCTTTCAAGGTGCCTCAAGTTGGTAGCTAAACCACGATTCACTTTTGGACTTCCCATGGTATACATCTTATTTCCCTGTGGTTGTGTCATAATTACCAGTCTCTTGTCTAGGAAGAAATATGATCTAAAAATATGATCTCTCGGGACACTGGGCAGCATAAGTTATACTTGGTAAGTCTGGAGTTACTCTGTGTCGGCTGAGAGAACTCCCAGCTTCTGTCCCAGTTTCCAGTAATGAGACCCTTATTAGCCACTAAAAATCCACACATTTCTGTTTCACGCTTAGAGGTGCTGCTCATCACTGTGCTGGTTTTAATGGCAGTCCATGAAGGGAGGCTTGGAAAAAGCAGGGTTGAATTAGGCTCTCTCTCTTCTCTTGCACAAATGTGTTAGTCAAGTAGATGAAATCAGACTCGTCTTAAAAAGACAGCAGTCTTTTATAAAACTGCTTTATAAACAGTTGGAATTGAGCTATTTTCCTATATTTGGGCATTTCTAAAGCTGGCCCATTTTATCTAAGATGACAAACATCAGTCTAAAACCAAATTTAACTGAAAATAAACAATGAAAACATGGGAAACACAAATGAGGTTTCTGTCCAGCTCTAGCTAGAATAGCTAGATACTATCTAGCTATTATTAAATATCTAGACTATCTTGGAAGCTGTGCAAAAGTGATTATAACAGCCCTGCCAATGTTAGGGGCATATCTGATTTCTTCATCAGGTTGGACACGCAGATATGACCAAGGGGAACCTGACCCTGCAGACCATCGTATCCGAGAAGGCCAACATCATTCTCAAAGATGGAAACAGCAGCAGGAGTCTGTTCCAGCTGTATAAGTCCGTGACCTCAGTTCTTAATCAGGAGACCCAAGAGGAAAGTCTTAATACATCTTTACAGACAGACACACGAAAAGAGGTCAGCCAGACACTTTTTTTCTTGCAGCAGAGTGTAATGTAATGTATTCTTCACATTCTTTGGCAACTCTTTCGTAACAAGCCAGATATAACTTTCTGACATGAATAGAGGTTTCAGGTTTCTACTATCTGCCTCAGTATTTGGCACAGGTTCAGCTATTTTTCGCTACTTGCCAAGCAAATGATTTTCTTTACAATCCATCTGTAAAAGTTTTCTTTCTCAATTGTTATTACATTACCTTATCCCATGGCCACTAGCTTTATTGCATTTGCACTGATAGAATATAAAAAGTCTTTGGTATGGCTAGAGATGTTTAAAAATTATGAAATATCTGCCCTTCACTACTTGAGATCTTTCAGATATGAGAATATCTCTTCTGGAATTCAATGCATTCTGCATAAAATTGAGTCAAGTGCTAGAGTTTCATTATTTTACAATCAGTTATTACAATAGACATCTGTACTACATTTGTAGGCTGTTTGTGGGGCCTTCTAAAGGGCGAGGGTGAAGTTGGAGCAGGGAATAAGGAACTGGGAAGCTATTGTCATGACAAGTTACTAAGGGATTGGATGGTCCTGAATTAAAGATACTCATCCCATGTCTGTGATTAGAACAGCAAAAATATTAAAAAATAAAAAGGAATCTAATCAAAAAGTCAGAATTTGAATCCCATCCTCTGCAAACCCTTACAGTCCATTCAGATCAACAGAAGAATTCCATTAACATTTTTAACCAAAACTAAAAGATTAAACTAATTAGCATGGTATTTTTAAACTAGAAGTTAACCTGATTTTCCACAAACAATTTAAATATTGCTAGAATGGCCTTTTCCGTGGGAGAAATATTCTATTTAAATTTCCCCCAAAGTACTAGATGGCAGGTAACTTAGATTGTTCTTTTCAGTTACGAGTTTGTGTTTCAGTTTTAAGCTTTTATTTGTGCAGTGCTTGAGTGCCCAGATGAAAAGATCTAGAGAAATTTAATGTATCCTTCAATTAAGATTCATCTGGAGGTGGCATTTATACAGTAATGCACACACACAAGCAAAAATTCTCTCAAGTAGCTCTCCTAGCTGTTAATGGCTGTTAAGTTCATAAATTCTCTGAGCTGGGAGGTAACAAAATAGTTGTGATTACACAGTATGTAAGGCACGTGGCATCTTGTCAGCAGATCTAACATCAGTTCAAATGATGCTTGTTGTAAAGTCTTATTCTACCTCATAATTTACAGCAAACCTGGCTTTAAATATGTGGCACTATTTACATGGTCTTAATGAGCATCTTATTCCTTTCCTGAATTATCCGTTTGGTTCCAAGCTCCGGGGGTTGATGTTGACTACTCTGTCTGCTGTTAACGTAACATCAGTGCAAACTGCCCTTCAGATGTCAGAAGTTTTGAAAGAAATCACTTACAGGAGTGAAGAGCTCTCTGTCTCAGCACAGGTACGAAGAAATCAATCTCAGATTTTCTTCCACAAGTAGTACAGACTCTACTGCATCCCACTGACCTTGGAGTGTCAGTGCCTTACACTTAAATGTTCTTTACTCAGCTTTAAAACCTCATCAGCATGTGTGTCTTGACCAGAGGGAAATACATTTTTACTACTTAGAGTAAAAGGATCTGGACTCATAGATTCTGTCTCAGCAACCACTACATCCAGGCTGTGACTGACTGGCCAGTTACACTCTGTGATATAATTTATAGTCAGAGGATGTAAAATTGATGCCTGATTTCTGTCTTACACACCTGAGCCAGAAAATGGCTTGGGAGCTCTTCAGCACTATGTGGTTAACTTCAGCAAGCCCACGAAATTGCTCACGTTCTCCATGCACTCTACACTGAGGCTGCTAAGAATTTGCAGATTGAAGGAATGGGCATGGCCAAGCTTATAATGAATGTGCCTGGCTTCCTCACCGCTCTGAGCTAAGAAAAATACAGTACTTTCACAATTACAAAGTAATCAATGGCTGTGTTTGGGCACAAAAGGAAAATCATACATTCATCTTTCTTTGGCATTTACCACAGCACAAGGCCAAAGGTATTACTTGCTGGTAGTCTAATATGCTTTGTGATAAATAAGATTGATATGCACTTGACAAGAGAGTTGTATTTTTTGGACCAAAATTTCAGCACCAAACAAAATAACCTTATTTATTACATTACTGTAAGATGTAAACCATATCTCGGCCCAGTGTTTTATAGATAAGCTTCCTTCACATATTATTCCTCTTTACGGATTGCATCTGCAGAGGCAGGCTTGACTTTTCAGATTGTATTACATGATAGTATACCATCTTTAATACCTCATCTTTACTGGTGTTTGAGAAGCACAAATGATTATAATTAAAACAGCTTTGACCACAAATAGTCCTAACAGATTACTTCTGGTGTAATGTTCAGTAAGAGCCTTAATGAGATCATGTGTCACTTCTGTCATTTGTAGCACCAATACACATAAACTGTTTGGCTTATTTCCCATGCAGGTAGAAGCCAGCAACACTCTAAAAGACGTCAGTGCTTCCTTGCTTACTGTAAACACAGAGGACAGCAGAGATGATCAGAAGAGAAAGGATGCAGTCAACTACCTATTTAATGCAGTTAGCAATGTGCTTAAAGCTTCTGTACAAAACAGAGATGTGAATACTTCAGTGCCCGAGGCAGAACAGGTAATTTTGGTTTGGTTGCTCCAGTTCCTAGTGGACTGTGTACGAACCTTTTCCATGCTTCAGAGGGCTTTTAAGAGTTCTGCTGCCTCTTGTATTTTTAAACTGACATTGGGTAATGTTTCTTGCAACATCATGGTGGAGTTAAATTGAGTATCAGAGTAAACTTCCCCCAGTTAGACCTGTTAGACTGAACAGTGTGCTGATGAAAATGCAAGAAACCTCTTTGGATTTTATACATTTAAAGCTGAACAGGCCAGAGCGCTGGAGAACACAAGATCAGTTTAAGGCATCTAATGGGTAACAAGCTGACTGATCATGATAGGATTTTTTCCAGTTGTGATTCTACCCGCACTGTTCAAAGTAGCCACAGATATTGAATATTCACTACTGTTTCCACTACTCACACACATAAGGTTAAAGCAAATAATGTGCAGCTTGCTGATTCTAAAGAGCTTTATTACAAGTTTCTTCCTCTAATCCTTTTTCAGAGTTCAGTGTCACTCCAGCTCTTGAATACAGTTGAAAATCTACAGAGTGCCCTTCTGTTTGGGAAAGACCCAGATGATGAACCAATGGTCCTTACCACTCCTTCTGCCACAATGTATATTAACAGGTACAAGTAATACTGCTTCAGTGATGGCCTTGTGCCTAAATGCCTGATAGCTTCTCAGATGTTTCCCAAATATTCTTTATATTGTCATTAAATGGAGCCCCACAAAGATTGTAGCATAATGACATTTCAGCAGTACAATGAAGCTGTAATTATTGACTGCAAAAACAGCTTTGACTCCAATTAACTTCAGTAAAGCTATCTTAGAAATTCTCCTGCCATCTCGTGTCATATCTGACCAGAGAAGAACTTACTACTATTCCTGCATGAGACAGTAGCCACTTACCTATGAAAGCATGAAAAACTCATGTTATGCCAGTGAAGGTTTTTCTTCCTTTTACAAGTTGTCATTACTGACATATTATATAGAATTGTAACCAGCCTGGCAGGAGCAAACATAGCTGTGAGCAGCCTGACAAGCATTATCCTATAATCTTTCCTAAACTGTTCACCTAGAACTTGATTCTCAACTACATTCAACTGCACATAAAAAGAGCTCCTTCATAGACACTAAGTACATCTTTCACATAAATACACCTAATTGGGTAAGATTTAAAATCCACATATGCCAATTCTATCTCTTTTTTGATGATCCTGTGCTAATACTTTGTGGAGTACTACATCAGGGACAGAAAATATATTAAGCATTTACTGGCAGAACTAGAAATAATTTATTAGACAAGTTATACTTATGAAGTGAGGAAGCATTTTCTCTAAATATAAAGTCTATATTATTAATGCTTTTCTTCCCTGTCTTTGTTTTGTTTTGCTTGTGTCTAACTGTAACTGTGGACAGATTACAAACAGAGAGCATGGACGGGACATCCATTAATGTCTCCAATTCCAGCTCTGCCAGCTTTACTCTCCCACCTGCTTCCTCCCTCAGCATTGCAGGAGTTGATGATGAAACAGTGGATATAAGGGCAAGTGAACAGCTGTTACCTGATTTTATCTGAGCTGCAATTTATTTTCTTAATCCAGTGGTTTTAGAATCCCTTCACGAACACACAATCACATAAGTCAGCCCTCCAGTTATGCCAATAGATTCATTTGATTTTTTTTTCCACCAAAGTCTTCACCTTTCTTAATTACATAAGGTTGGTTCAATAAGCTGATGGGGACTGAAAGCCTAAATTCCTCATCCCTTTAACCCCTCATATACATGTCTGGTTCATACTTGCATGGCAAGAGAAAGTGATGGAATCAATAACCTTAAATCCACTTGCCATTTGCTCACATCTATTTCTCCAAGAGGATACAACAGCTCCAAGTCCATATCACCATCAAACCCAACAAACAGTGCCCAGATAGAAATGAATTGGTTCGAGGCCGGCAGATCCTGCAGGAGACAAAAGGCCTGCAAGTCTCCTGATAACCCACATCCCTCATCTCAGTAGGATGCTGTTTTCTTTTCCTCAGAACAACAGATTGTATATTATTTTTATAATGAATTTTCTAAGGGTCTCTCAGATTGATTTACCACTCTAAAATGCCTACATGCACCTGTAAAATACAGTGTTTTTTGCTGTGCCTTGCCTTTTCCAGCTCTGGTAAGACATGTCCAGATCCTATTGAATTCAGTGGAAAGACACCCCTTGTCTTACCTGAGTGTTAGGAGAGGCTCCTTTCATTGTACCACCAACTCAGACATGCTCTGCATGCAATCATAATAGATTTTAGTTCCTAGCTTTGAAAGAGTTTCTTCATGAGGCGATTATACAACTGCCTTTTGATGATCTGATATCTAAAAGGCAAAAAGATTACAATGAATGGAAAGCAATAAATATTGATACAGTAAAAATCACTTTTAAGGATTGTGTCTGGTCTACTACAGAGATGACTACTGTTTGAGTCTGAGATCAAGCCTTAGGTATACAGCAATTCAGAATGCAAATATAATGAAATATTAACAATAACCCAAAGCTGATTGCTAATGTCTTGCTAATAGATGGTGAGCTTTGCAGCAAACCCCTTTTTCTCCAGTGACACCAGTTTTGATATCAGCGGAACAGTGGGAGGTTTAAGTCTTACCGGTCTGGATGGCTTGATCATACCAGTCAGCAATCTCAAAGAAAACATTGAGGTAAACCCCAGACTTTCTATCCCTCTCCCTCTCTTTCCTGTATACTTCCTTTGTTTATGAACTGTCATTTTTGTTATCTTGGGTTTCATTATTATTCTCTAAACGCATTAGAGAAGCCTAGGCAAGCAGCCAGGGTTACTGGCTGCATTTTCCCTATGTTGTGAAACAAACAAACAAACAAAAAGATTCTTTGCCATGTGGCTGATTTGTGCTTATGGATAATAGAAACAAGGTAATTTGCTGTATTCAATATCTTTCTGTCTGAAAACAGATTATGCTACCAAGGCTTTCAGGAAGTCAGGAAGACAGGATTCTTTTGACTTTATGCAATTTTAGTGCTTTCCAAGTCAATGTCACTTCAGAAAACACATCCATAGTGATCCACCTGGAATCTGAGCAAGATATTCCACTGATACTCTACTTAGGATACGAATATCGTCCAAACGAAACTAATTATGATATGAAACATCATCTGTTCTGTAAGAAGACTACTGCAGGTAAGACAACTTGCTAGTGGGCCTTTTTCACTCATTCATTCTGAACTTATGGGCCCAAAAGACGAAGCCAGATGTACACCCACGATCCACAGCCAGTTAAGGGCACTTAGTACAGATAATATGAAGTGAAGTTTACAGGGTTAGCACTTGTTATGGACAACATGAGCCCTGACCATGAGTTTAGGAGTCCAGCTGGAAAGAAATCTCTCAAGGGTGTTTCAGTCTGCCTTGCTTCAGGATCCCCTCTCTAATAGCCAAAGAGTGAACAATGTGCGTTGAACAATGTGCTGCTAAGGATTATTTGATCTCTGTTTGTTTCATTTTGTTCTGTTAATTTATTTGGTTATATGCAATAGAGCCAAATACTTCCAGATTTAACATTTCCTTATATACATTGAAACCAAAATATTTATGTTCAAGGTGAGGAAAACACCTGGGTTCTTAGTCCAGAAGAACTCTTCTTCGGCGAGGGAACTTACTATTTCCTGGTTGTGCTAGATATGGGAATGGATTCTACACTCAATGACAGGCTAACTATAGCTGTCACTTGCTTTGCATCCCGCTGCGTATTTTGGGATGAGCACCAGGGGAAATGGAGTAGCTATGGATGCCGTGTAAGTAAAGAGAAATAAAACATTATATTATACATTTTAAAACAACCCCTTATGACCACAGCACTGTAGAAAAATAACAGATTTGAACTCAGACCATAAAATAGGTTCATTTTGAAATGTTTTAAAAAATTCAAGAAGTAAATTTTTCAAAAAGTAAAAAAGTCCAATGTAAAATGACATTTCTACTACTTTCTTGGAATGTGCTTCCATATAAGAAGATACAAATAAGAAGAACCATTCTAACATGTATAATAATGCCTATTTCTGACCAGATACTAGAATTAATATTACCTGTTGGAATTTGAGCACTTTTCCCCACTAACTGATCAATCTTAGCAATCTCTGCAGTTTCCTCGGTAAGTTTGAATACTTTGAAACCAAATGTCCAGAATGTTTTATCAGGAAACTCTTCTGGTTTTCAGGTGGGACCAAAAACAAATCCTAGAAGCACACAGTGCCTCTGCAACCACCTGACCTTCTTTGGGAGCTCCTTCTTTGTCATACCCAATGCCATTGATGTTAGCAAAACCGTGGAGCTATTTGGTACTTTTGTGGACAACCCTGTGGTGGTGACGACTGTAGGATGCATCTTTCTGGTGTATGTGCTTGTAGTTATTTGGGCTCGAAGGAAAGACATCCAGGATGATGCCAAAGTAAGTCTTCAGAAAAAGACTGAATGTATTTAGGTCAAATCCTGCTTTGCCTGGCCTTTTCTGTGGAGAACATGTCATTCCAAGCATTTAGGACACAGTAGCCCATCCTTCTGTAAGCTGAAGCCCCTAAATGAAAAGTGATGCAAGAGCTAGTGTGGATGTTACAAGAGTCATTCTCAGCACATTCCTTAGAATATTCATATATGGCTTCCCTTGCACATTCCTTAGAATATTCATAAATCTTCAGCTATCAGGGAGTTATTGCTAAACTTTGAAAATGAAACTATAATAAAATCAAATTTTGTTTAACATTCAGAGTGCCCACACTGCTCATTTCTGCGTCCTTCTGCCTACCCTATTTCTAGGTATAACTTAAAATAGTGGAAAATCTTAACAGAAGTGAAAAGGATTATTTTATTTACATTTTCTTAAAAAAAAAAAAACAGCTTTGAAGTTTTTTTTTCATTTTTTACTGAAAAAAAAGCCTTCTGGGAAACACAGTGGGTTTTTGGGGGTTTTTTTTGCCCTTTTTTGTGCCAAATGTCATTAACCATCCTAAAACTGTTTTGATAGGAAGTCTTCAACCAACCCTACTCCCTTCCCTTTTACTCTATGTTTCCTGGTAAGTATGTACGCACTGTTTGCAAGATGACAAATTCCTACGCACAGCGACAAGGCAGCCGTACCTAGAGAACTACTAACGCTGCTCGTGTTATGTCACTCTGCAGGTGAAAATCACAGTCCTGGAAGACAACGACCCCTTGGCTCAGTATCGGTATCTTGTGACCGTGTTTACAGGACACCGCCGCGGGGCCGCCACAACCTCCAAGGTACTGGAGGAACTGTGCACTAATGCCATTTATGTATGCACTTATACAGCCTGATGAATAACGAAGCACCAGGGACAGTAAACAGGGTGGCTCAAATGCAGCTTCTAAGCCAGAAAGTCCTTAAATTTGAAGAAGCCAGAGTATGTCGGAGGAATAATCACACAGAATTCCGATACGTGCAGGTCTTCAGCCTGTCCCTCTGTTCTCCAGGTGACTCTCACCCTCTACGGCCTGGAAGGAGAGAGTGAGCCACACCATCTAAGCGACCCCGACACACCAGTCTTTGAGCGCGGGGGAGTGGATGTTTTCCTGCTCTGCACTCTCTTCCCTCTTGGAGAACTGCGGAGTATTAGACTATGGCATGATAATTCAGGACACAGTCCGTCCTGGTAAGTGTATGCTGGAAAACATTAAAGATGCACTTTTTTTATATAACAATAACATTTTTCCTTTCCTAGCGCATAACAATCATCCTCTTCACAATTCTGGAAAGGAGGGAAGTGTTAGTTTCTTTCCTTCTTTTTTTTTTTAACGGATGAGTAGGACGAATCATAATCTAAACTGCTCTTTTCACAATTCTGGAAAGGAAGGAAGTGTTAGTTTCTTTCTTTCTTTTTTTTTTTTAACGGATGAATAGGACGAATCATAATCTAAACTGCTCTACGATTTTCCTGCAGGTATGTGAATCGTGTATTGGTCCATGACCTGGCATGGGACCAGAAATGGTACTTCCTCTGTAACTCTTGGCTAGCCGTTGATATTGGAGAGTGTGTCCTCGATAAAGTGTTCCCAGTAGCTACAGAACACGACATGAAGCAGTTCAGGTAAATACTGCTGCTTTATAGACCTTTGAGCCCTTAGGAGCCTGAAAAGCGAGTGTGCAAAAATACGAAACCACTGGGTCAAAATGAAAATAAAGGAGGCCCTTCACTGATTTCAAAGAACTCTGGACAAGGATTGTTACCTAAATGGCAATACCATAGTGGAAATGCTAGTATTAAAAGGGGATAGTCTAACAAGATCTACAAAAACTCAACCTTATCTTCCCTTATATTTAATGTCTCTGAAAAATTGTACAGAAACTGTTTATGGTTAGCTATTCCTCCATGGCATGGCCAAAAGAAAAGGACATAAGGAGTTATGACTATTCAATGCCAATCAAGCCATGAGATGTGGTAATTTCTCATAGTTACTATTTCTTCTGATAGTGCCTAGAGGCACCAACAGGTCAGCACCCCAAACTGCAGCTTTATTCTTCCTTCTGTTTCCTAAGCATCCTCTTGACTTCCACCTCCTCCTTCCCAGCAATTTGTTTTTCATGAAGACCTCCAAGGGTTTCCAAGACGGACACATCTGGTACTCAGTTTTCAGCCGCTCCCCACGAAGCTCCTTCACACGAGCCCAGCGCGTGTCATGCTGCTTCTCACTGCTGCTCTGCACCATGCTGACGAGCATCATGTTCTGGGGAGTGCCAAAGGATCCCGCAGAGCAGAAAATGGATTTGGGTAATAATCCTAATCCTGGCTTGGGCAGGGAAAAAGAGAGACAGCAGAATACAGAAGCAGGACAGTTGAACAAATGGGATTTTTCATAAGAGATCTGATGGTTCATGGGGTTATTCTCACTCCTCCTCTCTCTGATCCTGACAGGTAAGATCGAGTTCACCTGGCAGGAGGTGATGATCGGCTTCGAGAGCTCTCTCCTCATGTTCCCCATCAACCTGCTCATTGTGCAGATCTTCAGGAACACCCGATCCCGGCCAGCCACACAGGGGAGAGAGAAGAAGCCAGGGAAGTGCGGCCGCGTATCGCCAAGCCTGCCTCCCGCCCGGCCCGTCACCCAGGCTGGCCGCCTCACTCCAGAGGCTGTGACAAAGGCAAGTCCCCAGGGCTGCTCTGCACTGCCCTCTGCCGCCACGCACCACCCAAGAGCAAGAATCTCCCCGGTCAGATGCCCTTCGGGTTGCCCGCAATTACCCACCAAGCACAGACTGGGGCAAAGCGCCAGGTAAAGCATCCACATGGCCAGGGAGGGAGGACCTGGCCAGGGGCATCCACCTTCAGGGCACGTTCTACCTGCAGGGGAGCTCTGACTGCAGCAAGATCTGCCTGTGCACATCGCAGGTCCTTGCACGACTGTGTGGGACCCAGATCACTGTGCTCAAGTGGTTACAAGCAAAGAGTGAGCAGGATAGTGGAGATAAAAATGTATCAAAGTCTTCCTCGGCTTAGATCATCAGTCAGTTTTGCATCCTGAAAGCTGCTGTGCTGAGCTCTTTGGAATCAGCCTGTCATATCCAGGCCCACCCTGGAGATGTTAGCAACCTGTACACTCCCAAGCAGTGATGCCTTCAGATCACAGCAGGTTTACACAATGCAGAGTCACTGCCATGCTGCTGCTGTCTTTTCTAGGACATAAGGAGAATTGTCAGCTCCCTGTTTAAAGCCCTGAAGACTCCATCACCCACCTCGGTATCAGACCTTGGGAAAGCAACTAACATCAACACACTTTTGGCACTGGTTGAGGACATCATCTGCCAGCAGAATAGAGCTGGACACGAGTTTTATGATGACAGTAAAAAGAAGGATGACCCTATAATTCTCACAATAGGTGCTGTGGATATGCAAGGTAATGTGACACAATGTGACAGCCCTGCTGAAACCTGTGTAATGAACATGATAATGACCATAGGATATGATGATCCAAGCTCTTCTTATATTCTCTCTTAAAGGCAATTCAATTAAAACACCGTGAAATCTATTTCCTATGCTGTGGAATGAAATATTAGGTACCAGCCTGGCTTGGGAGAAGGATCAGTATCTAACAGCATCAAGGCTCTCTAATATGAGCTGCTTTACATCATTTTGTCCCTTGTTTTGTTCTTGCTAACCAAGAACAAAACCAATCTTTTCAGTCTGATTCTTATCTTAGGTGTTGATTTACTTTAAATTAAACAATAATAGACGAGTGAACAATCTCACTGGTTTCATTAAGACTTGAATTTGGCTTTTCCAGTGAGCCTACAAGTTGCATGGACAGGCAAAAATAAAGTAGGACTCAGTATCATCTGACTTTTCTATTAAGGTGTTAGGACCTCTGCCTTACCAAATTCCCTCCTGGTATGTCCAACTTCCTTGCAGAAGAGCATTAAAACTCCATAACTGAAGTTGCACTTATATGTCCCTTCAAATTACTGTGCATTGTCACACTGCTGATCTTGGGCTCCAACTCTGTTGCTTTTTGTACTGAATGCTATTTTAATCTATGGCTAGGTATGCTGATTTTTTTCTCTTTAATCGCAGAAAAAAGAAGCCCAACTCCAGAGAAGGGAGTGTGTGAGCGGCTGAAACACAGTGACTACAATCGCTGCTTGTACGTGCAGCTCCAGCACGTGGAGATGGAGCTGGAACTACTGGGGCCCCATAAGTTTCAGGTGCCTCAGAGTTACACACAGGCTGTTCGGCAGGTTCAGCACATGAAGAACCTCCTTGAGAGCCGGATCTGCTCCTCAGCATCCAGCAGTGAGAGGTAACCTAGTTCACATCCAATTTTCAGTAAAATAAATTCAGATCATGAACTCCAAATCGGCCAGGATGACGGAGCCCAAAGTAATTACTGCATAACACTTGCTGGGTAAGCATTATTATAGCCGTAGAAGCTTATTATTATACTATAGTACAAGCAAATCAGAATTTCAGTGCATTAGGTACTGCACACAAAAGACAGGTCATTACTCTCTGTCATTTTTGCCTCCAAATTGAGTGCTACAGTTTAGTGCTGCATTATAGCAAAATACTCAAGACAATCACTGAGATCCAAAGCCTCAGGGGAGTCGATAAAAACATATGGATAAAGAAAAAATAGTGAGCAGACAAAAATATCTCAGAAAAAGTATGATCATTAAGTTAGAAATATTGAAAACAACACCAATAACTATGTCTCTGGTTTTTATTGTGATCACAAGGGATATATCCAGCAGCGAAAATGCACTCATGTGTTTAATTCTGTCAGCATTTCAACTCAAAGTTCAATTATGCATGAATTAAGCATGTAATACACCCATCATACTTGTTTTCATTTTAGCTCTTGTCCACAGACTTTCCCATATTTTTGCTCTCTGTATCTTTTGCTATCCATATATCCTGTATAACTGCATTAGTTAAAATAATTTAAAATATTTTGTTTGAGATTTTAAATTGTAATATGTTGCATACTACACCTGAAGTCTGTGTTTTGTTCATCACCTTCTATTCCACTGCAGAACTATTTTTTTATCTTCTGCTTGACTCTCCAGGTGGTCCCTTACTCCAAGTTTCTCCAGGGATGGCAAGAAAGGCCCTTCTTCCAAGGGGCTGCCCTGGTGGTTTGTGTTCATTGCATGGTTCCTTGTTGCAGCCACCAGTGGTGTATCCGGCTTCTTTACTATGCTCTACGGGCTGCATTATGGCAAGGAGAACTCCATCAAGTGGCTCATCTCCATGGCCATTTCCTTCTTTGAAAGTCTTTTCATCACACAGCCCTTAAAGGTGAGATCCAAGTGCAACTGCTGGCTAATAACTCATTCTACCATCACCTCATGAAGAGTGTTGGGTGTTTTAAATAACCACAGCACTTAAAAAAAAAAAATCCTTCCCCTTAAAACAAGAGCTAGTAGCTAGATTACAGCGTTGTACTGTCTTCTGCTTGCATTCCTTTAGTTTCATCTCCCCTTCTTTTGCCAGAATTTGATAGATGATAAAGTTTCTGACCAGGGAAAATGGCAAAAAGTGTTCAGTGAGCTGGACTGTGTGCGCTGTTGCCTTGTTCACGTGCTTGTGCTACAAAAGAGCAACACAAAACACAATTCTCCTGCCTGGTCTGGGTACCTGCATTCAAAGGGATCCAGATCAGAACGTGAGGTTCTTTATGCGGAACAGGTATGCAGTGAGTCAAAAGCTAATTCTTTCCAGGTGCTGGGATTTGCTGCTTTTTTTGCTCTGGTTCTGAAGAAGGTGGAGCAGGAGGATGAAGAAAATACGGCCATTGATGGGTCTTTATGTGCCCCAGGTGTGTGAAATGATTAACGACAGTGAAGTGTTCTCTGGTATTTTGGACTGTTTTATGCACAAATACATGACCTATACGTCAACTCAGGAATTCATCACTTATTTTCGTATATATAGAAATCTTACTGCAATGAAGAGGAAAACCAGTATATGTCCAGATGGGATAAATTTTGCAGAGTACTTAATAAGAACAATTCAAAGATAAAAAAACCTAAAGGAGAAAGAGTGCTGTTCAACAGTTTTCTCCCTGATCAGTCTCAAACTCTGAGTATGTCTGTTTTGAGATATCTTTCTTCCTGTTACCCATCTTTCCTGAGCAACAGGAAGAGAGAGATACCCAGGCTAGACCCTGAACCTGCTTTAATGGTTGGTGGGCTGCTTCCCTCACCATTGTTACCTTACCCTACCGATGGTTTAAGTCATGTCCCCTCTCTTTGTAAGAGAAAGCATTAAAATCTCCTTACAGTGGCAAAATAAGAGAAAAGCAAGACACAGTGGATCTACTGAATGATTCTAGGTTTTCCTGTTCTCACTCGCAGGTGATTCAAATCCTCTCTTTGGAGCCAGACGGGACAGCAGAAGCAACATCTACCAGCCACCTCCTGCATCAGATGTTGAGAAAATGAAAATCAACTGCATGAAGGAGCAAAAAGCATTTGCCCTCATCAGAGAAATCCTGGGTATTATCCATCAATAATTTATCATCTGGCTTTATTCATATCAATATTTTGCCACAGTAAAAATGTTCTCTGGAGTTTAAAAAAAAAAGAAAAAAAAAAAGTGAATTTTTAGCTTTCTGCTAGTCATGTGGGCTCAGTGCAATTTGAGCTGAGGGGAAATAAAAGTGCAACTACAAAAATGTGACGGGCTAATGAAAATTAGAAGGGGCAAAAGGAGGAGGTCAGTGCTTAAAGTAAGTTGGAATCAAAACAGCAATTGGAGGACATCTTTCTAAGAGCAAAGATTTTCTACAGGTGACTAACACTTCAGTCTTGCTTACTCTAAAAGCCGCAGAAAACAAAACTTGAATTTCACTTGAAGAAAGTGAGATGTTCCATCTCACTTCTTCATGCTAGTTCCATTCAGAGCCTCCATTGCTGTTGATGTTCAGTCAGCCTTCCCACTTATTTTCTTGATCACTACTCATATTCCAAATGTGATAAACTTCAGCACTTTCAAGCAGCTTGTGTAAATTCATTAGCAGTGGTTAGAGTCTTTCAAGGCAGCTCTTTAAGCAGTAGCAGTTATTATTCTGGGCTCACATGTGCTGTCTCTTCTTGTCTTTTCCAGCCTATCTGGGATTTTTGTGGATGCTGCTATTGGTTGCCTATGGACAGAGAGATCCCAATTCCTACTACTTAAACAAGCACATTGAGAACAGCTTTACAGATGGATTCCAGGATATCTATAGTTACCAGGATTTTTTCACATGGGCAAGAACTACCTTAGTCAAAAATCTTTACGGCTCATACAAAGGTGCAGACACCGCGTTCCTATCCAATTGTGTGAGCTTCAGCTGAAACGTTGTCTTTTATACTTACCTCTAACTTGAACATGCATGTTACGTTGGAGGAGGGGATTATGAGTGTATAAGGCTAGTGTGGATTTATTCATCTTAGTAAACAACAAAAATCAGTGTGTAATTCTACACTGTCTAACCATGATGTGCGTAGTTGAAGGGCTGCAATACATTGTGCGCTGAAACACAATAACCAAATTAATCTCTGATTCCGCCAGCCTGACTAGGTTTAATTTAACCTGATATTTTAGGTTTGATATAATCCAAGTTTGGTATTGTAATTTTACATTTTTTACATTTTACTCATTGCAGATATTAAGATATATGCCTCCTAGCTCACATGAGCTTCTTTTTGCATTAGAAAAAGAATGGTAGGTAGATGGCACTATAAAGCTTTTCTTCAGGAGAGCTATTAGTGTCATGGCTTAGGTTCATGCAGGCAGATTTCCTAACATCGCTGTGTTTCTATCTAGCCAGTACTAAGTGCAGTCCACTTTCCAGCTCACATTTTAGAGCAAATATTAAAATGCATTAGCAGATGGGCACGGGCCTCCTGTGCAGCCAGGTGAATGCAGGCTGCACCCAGTTGTTTTGCTGAGTGACTCTAAACGGGCAAATTTGCTCCTGCAGCTCTCAGTTTCCTTCTCTATAAAGTACAGATTGATAATTATACTGCACTCTGTGGATGGAACTACAGACGTTATATGAGAACTCAGTTCAAACTGGGACAAGGGCTTTATTTTCACAAGAATTTTGCTTACAGTGTTGTGGATTTTTTTTTAAACCGAAGCTATGCCAAAACAATAAATGATACAAAAAATTATTAGTAGGAGTTTTGTCATACTGCCAGTACTGCTCATTTCCATGTCCTGTTCAGGATTCATTACAGATGGCAATTCCAAGCTAGTGGGTAGTGCCCGAATTCGACAAGTAAGAGTGAAAGGAGACACATGCCCCATTGCTGCCAAGCTCCAGCAGGCGATTCGGGAATGCCGTGCCCCGTACACCTTCCAAACTGAAGACACCTCGGGTTACGGGGAACGCTGGAACGCTTCAGCTTTCCACAACTCCTCTGACTTGAGCTCAGCGTGGCAGTATCAGAGTCAGGCCCAACTAAGAGGGCACCCAATCTGGGGCAAACTTGCCGTCTACCGGGGAGGAGGATACGTGGTTCACCTGGGGACAGATCCTCAGAACGCCTCCAGGTACCATGTGCACTCAAGTAAATTATAAGTGAAGCTGTTGTGGTGGGAATGCTGCTCTTTCCCCTACCTTATTTAGGATTAATTTCAGGCAGCATCCTGAGTTTTCCTACTGAGGATTTGCCCGGCTATTGTAGATATTATTGTGATGGCTTCAATGTAATTTATGTTCTTAACATCTTGCTCTGTATTAGGAAATAACTCCTCTGTGTAATACTGTTTCTCTCCCGTATGGGTTAGATGACCAGCTATATGTTTTTCGGCAGAATTCTCCAGTACCTTTTCACCAATGTCTGGCTAGATGCCTTTACAAGAGCAGTGTTCGTTGAATTTACAGTCTACAACGCCAACGTGAATCTTTTCTGCATTATAAGTCTGATGTTTGAAACAAATGCTCTAGGTGAGAGCCTTTTTGACGTTTCAGAAGACAGAAGGCAATGCAGCTACACATGGCATAGTTACATGTTGTCAGTGCTTTCCGGGTTCTTTATTCAGTAAACAGAAGCATGTTAATAATGCTAATAATGGCAGAATCAATAAAAAAAATATACAAACCATTTAGAGGTTGATGTAGACATAATACTTACGGAGTGCCACAGTAACATAGACCATAATAGCTCACGTTTGCTCATGCTGTAGCCATCTGTTACTGAAGAAAGCACAGTACTGAAACTTAATCTCTAAAATGTACATGATAGGAACTGGAAAATGTTAGTTCCTAATTATTTCAGCTAATCAATGCAGTATAAAGACAAAAAAGCAAAAATAAGTTTTTTTTCATTTGAATGAAAACAGAAAGACCTAACTATCTGAATACTGAGATAAATACTGTTATTTTTAGGGGCCTTCTTCACAAGTGCAGAGCTGCAAAGCATCCAGCTTTACCCATATACCAATAGTCTCCATATCTTCGTCATTGCAGCAGAAGTGATTTATTTCTTCTTTATTCTCTACTACATGGTAGTACAGGTGAGATCCAAGGGGTACTTCTGGTGCCAGGTATCGTATTGCTTCTGTTCTGATCTCATTTACAAATGCATTTGCAGTGGGTAATACAAAAATTATTTCTCAGGCCCGTACTTGAAAGAGTGCAAAACTGTTTCCACAGGGAAAACTTATGAAGACTCTGAAATGGAGATATTTCCAGAGCAAGTGGAATCTCCTGGAGCTGGCCATTATAGCGATTAGCTGGAGTGCCCTGTCCGTGTTTGTGAAGCGGACAATCCTAGGGACCCGAGACATCAGCTACTACCAGGAGCACAAAGAGGAGTAAGTGTTACTGCTAGCTAGCCCGTCCCCTGGCAGTGCTACTAATGCAGGAAGACTCTGAAATGGAGATATTTCCAGAGCAAGTGGAATCTCCTGGAGCTGGCCATTATAGCGATTAGCTGGAGTGCCCTGTCCGTGTTTGTGAAGCGGACAATCCTAGGGACCCGAGACATCAGCTACTACCAGGAGCACAAAGAGGAGTAAGTGTTACTGCTAGCTAGCCCGTCCCCTGGCAGTGCTACTAATGCAGAAACTTGTTTCATACAGAATAGAAATAATATCGTCTTAAAAAATATGGTTGAACAAGAAAGAAATGAAAGAATCACAGAATAATGTAGGCAGGAAGGGACCTTTTCAGGTGTCTGGTACAATCTTTTGCTTTGGCGTTAGATCGGGGCCTCCTTTGGTTGTGTTTTAAGTATCTCCAAACACAAAGACTATCTGAAAATCAGCAGCATTTCAGTTGTATCCTTGACCCTCTCTCAGCTCTGGCTAATGCTGATATAAAACTGCCATGTCCTGCTGACTTTTTGTGCACATGCAGCAGGGAGCACAGAAAGGAACATTCAGGCAAGAGCTCAAGTCAGCCCTAGGCTGAAACCACGTCTAGAGGGACTGACTTTTCCAGTGTAGTTGTTCATGCAGTTCAAAGGCATGTATGTGCATTGTTTAATAAATCTTTTCTTTTTTCCTAAACAGATCTGTAAGCTTTAATGAAACAGCAACAGCTGATGCAGTTCTGGGTTACCTGATTGCTTTCTTAGTACTTCTGTCCACAGTAAAACTGTGGCATCTGCTGAGGCTCAACCCCAAACTCAACCTGATCACTTCAACCCTACGCAGGGCCTGGGGTGATATCTCTGGGTTCATCACTGTTATTGCAATCATGTTCCTGGCCTATTCCATTGCAGTGAGTATCACTGTGGTTTCTGTTGTCTGCACTCTGCACCCGCATTGAATGATTTGTTCCTGAATGGTGAAAGCAATGCAGGTTTGAAATGCAAAACTAAACAAAGCTGTCTGTCTAAATCCTAGGTTAGCAGCTTGATGGCTGCAATGTACTGCTTGAACTCTGATTCTTTCTTTGGTGCAAGTGAAAGACAAGCTAAAACATCCACCTGCCTGTTCTTTGCAAATTGAAATTTAGTATGTGCAACAGTAGCCTCTTTTACGGTCTTGTCAGGTGTTTTCCCCGCTTGTATACCAAAATCAAGCCAGAACCAAAACCCTTCACAGGGCTCCAGTGATAAACAAGGAGAGCTTTCTCCAAATATAGCAGTCACTAGCTGCGTTTGCAGCAAGTACTCTGATTATGGTGCTAGATATGTTTTCTTTCCCTGCAGACAAACCTGATATTTGGCTGGAAGCTCGACTCTTACAAAACTCTCTTCGATTCGGCAGAGACAATGGTCAGTCTTCAGCTGGGAATCTTCAACTATGAGGAGGTACCATCTCTAACTTGGAGAAGTTCATTATTTGTGTCTCAAATGTATTTTGTGTGTCAAATGTATTTGTGTCTCAGATGATAATAATGCTGGCAAATAGAAAGACTTTCAATTGGTGGTAGGCAAGAATCTAATTTTGCAAATTCTAAAACCTTTTAAAGCAGACATCCTTTCTCATCGAGAAAAGGAAAGGACATTAGATGAAATATAGCTTGCATCCCATTGCAAACATGAGTGTACTCATAATGAACTAGGTAAACGCATACAGAGATTTCATCTATACTTTCATAGCTACTTGCACATGAAATCTTCACACCATTATATTGACACGAATATATAAAAAATAAATAAATTGCCCATATTTATAGACCAAAGAAAAAGTCATCATTTTGATCAAAGTATGAAAATGACCAAAGAAGAAAAAAAAATGACTGTACATTTATATAAATATAACATGTATATAAAATAATCTACTAGCCGCAAAGATTTTCAAACTGGCAAACTCCTTTTTTGAGTGTTAAACTGCTTCTGTGTATATCCTTTTGTCATAACCAAAATATGATGCTCTGCCTTATTAATACTGCAGGTCTTGGACTACAATCCAATTCTAGGCTCCTTCTTAATTGGCTCCTGCATCATTTTCATGACATTTGTGGTGCTGAATTTGTTCATTTCGGTGATCCTGGTTGCCTTCAGCGAGGAGCAGAAGCATTACCAGGTGGGTTCACACAGGCTCTTCTGCTCTTCTTTAACCTCCTGGTGCAGAGCTTACTGGTCACTTAGCTGTTCCACATCTGATGAACACAGGTACACTCTGCCCTGCTCTTGAGAAGTCAACATTTCAGCACAAAGAGCACTTCAGATACTGCGGATTCACACTGCCCATTCCCATTTAGATGAGTCTGCTCAGAGTTAGTACCAAAACTGATTCGTAGTCTATATTATGTTCACATACTAAATGCAGGAAAATGAAACAAAGCCTTGGGCTTGTGTCCTAGCTTCATCAAACTCAGTGCCATGCCAAAACTCCAAGTGTCTTCATGAGGACAATACAGCTCTTTTTAAAAATATCTCTTTAAGCATCTGACATATTCAAGCTATTGATAGCATGGTATGAAATCCAGCCTAGTGATACCACCAGTCATATGGAGGGTAACCTAGCGAACTCCAGGCTTTGGTGGCAGGATTCCCACAGGCTTTGACAGAGCGAAATTTCTTCTGTTTCATATGTGCTCACCTACAGACTATCAGGGACATTTGTCTGATAAAAATACCATCGTGGTGTTCTGCTTCAGCAGATATTCACTCTCTGCCTTGAGTCACACTTGGTTCACTTCATGCCAAGTGCAGAGCTTCTCTTGAGACTTGCTCCAGCTTGAGCAGAGACAGTGGGTTTCTGGTGCCCTAGTAACTTATTTCTGTTGTAATTCTTCCAGGCTTCCGAAGAAGAGGAGATTGTTGATCTAATGCTAATGAAGCTCTTCAGTTTCTTTGGGCTTAAATGCAAGAAGGATGAGAAGCCGGTCACTAATGATCAACAGGACTAATGTGAAAAACAACTTGGGAACTGCAATGAAAAACCGCTTTGTTCACAGCTGAAGGAGCTTAGGCAACGGCAGCTGATCCTTAAAAAGTAGCCTTAGACTATAAGCTTCTGGCCACGACGCTGCGCCCTTGGAGCAGTACCGTCCTGCTGTTACCGTGTGCACGAGCTCACGCTACAATAAACGGCCGCCCCCACGCGCCTCCCACGCGTCTGTCTTTAGTGGAGCGC